TATATATATAAATAATTTTTTCAACAAATTTAAAATAAATTTCAGGGGAAATTTTATTAGACTAAGCTCGGTATTTTTTCTGTACATATACCTGTATAATGTATGCAATTTACTTTTATTTATTCTAAAAAGTGTAGATTGAATAATAGTAATATTTCAATACAAGAATGGGGCTATATATTGTTTTAAAAATTCTTACCTTGTTGTGAGAATTATACCTTACCTTGTTATATGAGTATTACAACTCTGACGATTATGCAAGAAGCTGCGAGATAATTGTCGCGTGCAATTGTGCGTAACGAATGTCGCAAATACGTACATAGCTCGTTGAGAAATTTATAGGCCACATTCTCGTGCGAAAATAAGGAGTCCTTGAACGACATCAAACTCGATCGAATATTTGTACGAATATATCTAGGTATCTGCTCCTCAATTATTCCGATGCAACTTATATTCGGAGAAGTAGCGCACTTTTGGTTCCTAATGTCAACTAAATCCGGCAACACATCAAACATATTTGCATATCACACATTCCAATATATATCTGCGAATGACATTTCTACATACAAGTCGTGTGTTTTCAATCTACAAAAATATTTTCAGCAAGATCTATCTTAGTATGAAGATCTCTATTTGCCCTATGCCAATTTTTCCTGCGGCAAATTCATTTAAATCGATTATTGCAACGCATTTTTTACTGGAAAATTATATAAAAACTTATTAAATAAATTAAATAAAAAAAATTCTCTCTCTCTCTCTCTTTTACATGTTTCAATTAATTTCACGTAACTGTCACTGTGATAGAATCTGATATTTATTTAACACGAGATTTAATCTCAAAAATTATATATGGATCGTTAAAAATTTATATAGTGCAATGCGTGGATTTTGACATATTTTATCTGAGAAAAATATAATAAATCGATTTAATAACGCATTAATCTGGCTCTTTTAAGTGATAATAATTATTACAGCAACAAAAAAATTTAACTTATGCATTTTTAAAGTAACAATAATCCTAAACTCTGCAATAATTATTATCTTTTCACAATCATATTAAACGGTACGATCAGGTATGTAACGTGCTTTCTTTATTTCCGCGTTAATTGCAAAAAAAGAATATATAGAAGTTATTTAAAGCTAAAATTATTATTCTTAAATAATTATATGTAAAATATGATTGTGATAATAAAATCGTATAATTATTACTGAATTTATTTTATGACACAAGTGTCATGTAATATACATATATTTAGCAAAGACTCTAATTTGTACGATACATTTTTATGTCTTTAGCAAATCAACAACTTCCACTTCAAGTTACGCCAATTTGTCATGATATTGGCCGTGTGTTATCCTGTGATTCGCGAGATCTACGCCCACCGGTGTCAGCTGATAAAGCCGGGCGTTAGTCACCCGTCCAGTTCTCTGTCGACGTAAAATCGCGATGCGTATTATGGTAACCACGCATGGTCGATGATAAAAAAAACGTCGACGACCCCAGCGAGATGAGACTCGTAATTTTCATTTATATAACGAGCACTTTTTGCCGTACGACCCTACGTATACGTAAAGATGGAAATATCTTAGTGAAGCCCTGTTTATACCACGATGTAAGGTTTCCCGCGGAACCTGAGCCTCCTCTCTCATGCGACGCGATTAGACAAAAGTGACGGCCAACGTAAAGCGCATTAAAAATGTTATGTATGTGTATATATATGTCGGTGTAAAAACGCGATTGTGACGATAAAAAATATTTTCAGGAACGACTAATGGTTTTAGTAATCGTCTATATGAATTCTTTCACAATCTCTACATTCTTCGCCCGTGATTTCATCTTGATAAGAATTAATTTACGAAAATTTGGTATATTAAATATAATTAATTAAATATATAAAATAAAATTAAATATATAAGTAATCTCTCATACGTAAAATTCAAATATCAGAATGAATTTTTAAAGCAAATATATAAATATATATATATCAAAAGAATATGCTTGGCTAATAAGTATGATAAAAACAGGAAAACAAAGAGAAATGTGTTTTTAATTAGGAACACCTGCTGCGGCATATTTCGAGATATTAGAGCAGAGCGAGTCAAATCGAAGATCTGGAAAGGGTATCCGTTGGCTTGAGGCAGATCAAGAAAGTGAGGTCAGGGAAGCATGTCGAATAAAAAAAAAACCGAACAGAGTTGAATGTAACAGCAGCAGCAGCAGCAGCAGCAGAGAGCCAGGTCTGCGAGTCACCCTACGTCTACAACCTATCGAAACTTGGTAACGTTACACTTCAGGCATGTAATCTTAGACTATTGTGGGGTTCTTTACATTCCAGACCCGCACTCTTGACTTAAGGCAGGTAAGAGAGTGAGAGCGTGGTGTGAGGATTCCATAAGATAAACATACTCATGCGGCTCCGCACGACGACGCCGCAGTCACGTATAAAAGGGTTCTGGCATCTCTCACACTTCCAGATACCCCCGAGATTGTGATGAATTTCAAGTGCGCGGCACTTCGATCCACGAGTATCTCCAGGGCTTATCCATGATTCTTCATCATAGATTTTTTTTTTCTTTCGATGGATTTTTAACAAATTAAAAAAAATTAAAAATTTTATAAAAAGGCAAAAAATTACTTAAACGATACGTGACTACAAATGTCTCTGCTTCTATCTTTTATACAAGAAGACATGTATGAGATGTTCAGTGCCACGCGTTTACGTTACAGCAGAAAACAGATGAAAATTTTTTCTTCGTTCATCCATATTCGTTGAATAATTTAGAATGCGCTCGCGCTATTCACGCATATCTCGCGTGCGCCTAATTGATTTCCACTCATGCAAGATCGCAACTCATTCATCAATCAAACTTTGTCGGGGAAATATCGCTGCTGCAGGAAATTCGAAAATTGCGATGCGGCTATTCGTCTAGTGGTGCTCCGACAATAACTATTGTCAACGGCTCGTAATTTCCCGAGCAAGTGTTCACACATGCGGGGATGGCAGCGGTGAGTTGTACGTCCTCTTAAATAACGATATGTCATTTATCGCATCGTTACGCATTGCGATCGATTGCGAAATGCTTGCACGCTATTCGCAAGCGGTTGCGAATCCAGAGAGAGAGAGAGAGAGAGAGAGAGATCTCCCCCACAAAATCCCGCCGTATTACCTATTTAATGACTTAATCCGATCGCAAGGACAAAAATCGTAAAAATAACGCCCGTTGACGAACGTTAAAGGATGGCGTGTTATCGCCCTCGGGACGAAAGCCTCCTGCCAGGTATTTTACGAGCTTTTACCGGCGATATTACGCAATCAACCCTTCTTCAGGCAACCCATGCGAATGTTACGTTTCGCATAAAATCTTTCTCTTCTTTTTTTTTTTTTACAAAACTGTTTTTACGGGGCACACAATTATTAATAATTCAAAATAATTCACATATCGAATCTTTTTCTTTCTCTTGGTTATCAGATTTGTTCCTCTAGGAGGTTTGTTTCTAATTCTAATAATAATAAAATTTAAGCATTAAGGAAAGCATGCTTGCGTATAATCGTATTTAATCATTTTTCTTTTTCTTTACGCAATACTTACTTGCGTTACGTCTCTCCCACCGAAATTTGACGCAGAGTTTGTGATGCAGCGCTTCTCGAATCATCTTATCGTGCGTGTTTACGTGACTCAACATAACGCGATAATCCCTTCTATCCTTACCTGATATTTCCTGATAGAGTGAAGCTGCTGCTGCGTCGGTTCGGTTGTGTTGGCGTTATCGCTGGTTTCGACATTATTGTTCTGCGTAGAGAGACGTAGATTATCCTTCGGCGGTCTGGCGGGCGCCCTTTTCTGATCGCGAGGCGGAATGGCAGGCTTGACCCCGTTGAGACCGGCCTAAAAATCCATTCCAAAATACAATTCGTATTAATAGTCCCACGTGCCTGACAATTTACTTTGCCAATTTTATCGCCTCTCCTCTCACACGTGTGTGTTTCATTCTCTTTTTGTACTTCCAAACATACAGAGTATTCAGTCGATCTAGCGTATGCACACGAAAGGACAGGAAAAAGAGAGACAGAGAAGCTGAGGCAGTAGAAAAGCGAGAGAGAGAGAGAGAGAGAGAGAGAGAGAGAGAGAGAGAGAGAGAGAGAGAGAGAGAAAGGGAAAGATACACACACACACTGCAAAAAAGCATTTCAAAAGCAAAAATATCAAGCGGAAGTAAAATGCCAACTCTCTCAAGAGATGATTGCATCGAAGATGATAATTTATGATGATATATTTATTTTTTGTATATAATGCCGAATTTTTATATCAAAATTGAACTTGTACATTAATGATAGCAAGTCTGAGTCATTTAGAATCCCTGACTCACTCTATCACTCGCTATTTTGAAACGTTATATCGTAACCCGAGTGTAATAAAATTTAAAGTATTTCCAGTATATCGTTGATAGGCATTTTACTTAATAAATTTTTTCTATGCGTAGCTAGTGTATGAATCTACTACTTTACCATGCCGTTGACGACCTTACGTTAGATGTCCCATATTTCTTTACGCATGCTCTTCGTTTTAGCATCCTTAATCGAACAGTCGCCTTTGTACTTTTTTCTGCTTTTGAAAATAGTAATGTAAATTCTGATGCTACTACAGAAGAATTCGATTTAAGATATTTCAAGAAGCGAAAACGAGCAATCTGTCCAAGTTACTTCACGGGAGACGTGCTTGATTGAAATTTCCAAAGTGCAAGGACGCCGTTCAAACTACTCGACAGACGAAAATTGTCAAAATCGAGTCGCAAAGTCCATTGCGGTTTACCTGTTCGAGCGAGTCAGAGAGAGAGAGAGAGAGAGAGAGAGAGAGAGAGAGAAAGGGAAAGATGCATGCATGCACTGCAAAAAAGCATTTCAAAAGCAAAAATATCAAGCGGAAGTAAAATGCCAACTCTCTCAAGAGATGATTGCATCGAAGATGATAATTTATGATGATATATTTATTTTTTGTATATAATGCCGAATTTTTATATCAAAATTGAACTTGTACATTAATGATAGCAAGTCTGAGTCATTTAGAATCCCTGACTCACTCTATCACTCGCTATTTTGAAACGTTATATCGTAACCCGAGTGTAATAAAATTTAAAGTATTTCCAGTATATCGTTGATAGGCATTTTACTTAATAAATTTTTTCTATGCGTAGCTAGTGTATGAATCTACTACTTTACCATGCCGTTGACGACCTTACGTTAGATGTCCCATATTTCTTTACGCATGCTCTTCGTTTTAGCATCCTTAATCGAACAGTCGCCTTTGTACTTTTTTCTGCTTTTGAAAATAGTAATGTAAATTCTGATGCTACTACAGAAGAATTCGATTTAAGATATTTCAAGAAGCGAAAACGAGCAATCTGTCCAAGTTACTTCACGGGAGACGTGCTTGATTGAAATTTCCAAAGTGCAAGGACGCCGTTCAAACTACTCGACAGACGAAAATTGTCAAAATCGAGTCGCAAAGTCCATTGCGGTTTACCTGTTCGAGCGAGTCGACGTGCGCCGATTCGCGCGTATAACTCTTCAAAGTGCGCTCGTTTGACGGTCTCGGCGAGCTCCGCTTTGTACATCCATCAGAATCGTGCAAAGTCATCATAGGTTGATCTCTTCCGTCCTGTCCTACGATGCGCCGTGAGATTTTCGGGTTCGGGACAGGATCGCGGAGGGAGAGCAAGAAGCGAATCCGAATAGCCGTTAAATCCGAGATATCCGACATGCTCCTCCGACAAACGCGAAATTTCGCGCCATTGTCGATCGGAACGTTCAGCATCTTGGAACTCGATTTGTACTCGACGGACAAGCTCGAATTTTTCTGATTCTGCGTATTCGGTGAATCGCAGCGATTGTGCAGTTCCTCCTTTTGCGAACGTTGTAAATCGTCGGAAACGTCATTGACGAATATATGACGCACGACGTGACGCCTCGCGGGGGATAGCTCGTGCAAGGAATTCCGAGAATTCTGATTCGTCTCTTGGATGAAGGACAATTGAGTCGGAGTGTCAGCAAGTTTGAGAAACGAGACATCAGGTAATGAAGGATTCTGTTCACGCGTGGTAATCTTTTCCGGCCAGTCGGAGGGAGTAATTTCTCGGATCTCATTTTCAAAATCCGCAAGAAGACATTCCGATGAATTTACGACATTGTCCTCGGACAAAGATAAATCAGCCGGGCGCGTATGATCATCGATCGTTGTCGAAAAAGAGGAGAAGATCGTCCCACCGTCTTTGCCTTCGGCGTGGAAGGAGTTCTGCCAATCTTTAGGACATTCATCTCGAAAAGACGATGAAGAGAACGGATGTTTGACGTTTTCCAGAAATTTCCGACGCGGGAAAACATCGGAATGAACGTTCTCATCATGGGACACATCAAAGCAGGGGTTTTCGTAGAAGAGCTCCTTCGGGGCTAAGGAACAGGCGGAAACCGAAAACTCCCCCGAGTTCATGTTGAACGATTGCAAAACAGGTTCGTTAGAGCGAAGCCGCGTTGGTGCGTTAAGGTGATGCGTGCTAAGAGAAGCGCAGCGAAGCGATTTGCAGTGCTCGTTGTGCATGATAGAGTGCAAGCCGTCGACTATCAAGCTCTTGACTCTGGACCTTACCTTCCTGGCGTCGTGCTTACGGTCTACCGTCGCGTTGCGCGCGACTATGGTCTCCCTAGCACTACCATCATCGCCGCTAGACAGCATCGTGTAACGGCTATTGTCGTTCGGGGGTAGACAGGGGGAGGCTACAAGCGCGGTTGTCGTGATGGTCGTCGTGATCGTTGTCGTCATCGTCGTTGTCGCGGGGGTGCACGCGCCCCCCTCGCTCACGCGATCGCGTTTCGGCTCGAGAGTGTTGTGCTTGCTGTTGCCGGGCGTGGTGATCTTATTAGGCGGCGGGTATACCGGATGGCGCTTGGTGACCGGCACGAAATCTGGCGGACAGTCGACGGCTACCTCGCGGTAAGACCTGTTCGAGACCACGAGGAAGCTGCGATCCACGCTACTACGCTCGAGATCGCCCGATACTTCGCTTCTGAGCGTAGAGTAGCCGCTGGAGATCTGCTGATGCCTATGCTTCTTCTTGGGCCGGGCCGACGAGGAGGACAAGGAGGAGAGATGGCTCAGCTCGATGCCGAGCAGATCGTCGGTCGAGCCGGTTCGGATCAGTTCCTCGATATCGAGGCTGCGCGATTTTGCCTTCAGCTTGGCACGCTCGTCGACATTCCCGCGACGCTTCGTATTTTTCGCGCCAGACTTGTTCGTCGAGTGCTCCGTCGTTGTTCGGGAAGACTCTATCTGCTGGTCCTCCGCGCGGACAGGCGGCGCCTTGTCCTGTTCCTTCGGAATCCTCGGGACAGACGAACATTGATCGTCTATCAGTCTGGTCATATCCGAGGCCTCGTCGGATCGCAGTAGACCTTGAAGGTCCTGCAAATCCGTCAATCCATAAGCCGGATTGTCTAAGGACGTCGTGTCCCGAGCGCGACCGAAGAGCGGAGCTATCTTGATGTCGGGCATCACCGATCTGCACGGGGAGCCGAGATCTATCCTTCGTACGTCATACAACGTATGTCGCACGTCCTTATGTTTATCCTTATTTTTACTTTGCCTTTGCTCACACCTCAAGCTGGTGTCCAAAGGCGCAGTGCTGTCCGATCTGCCCGACGAGCTCCTCGGGCTCGCGGAATCATCGCTGCACGTCTTCAGCATGGTGGGGTAATCCTCTTTGGCGAACGGATAGTCGTCCTCGACGTCGACACCTGACTCCTTCTGTTCGCTCGCGTCCTCGACGTTATCGTACTCCCCGAGAGCTTTCAGATCGCTCTTCAAATCTGGTGAATCGATCGCGATTGGGCTGTCGCGATATTTGTCGATACTTGCCGGATCTTTCTTGGCAACTTTTACCTTCTTCTCCTCCTCGTCCTCGATCTTTAGCTCGATCTTCAGCATAGACAGAGGCTGAAGACCGTTGCGAACGTTGATCGTCCGTGAGGCGGAGTCGACGTCGTCGTTCGATACGAGTCTAACGCGTCCGTCCGCGGGTGTGGTGCGCGTCTTAAGGGTCTCGTTTTTAAGGTTTAGGGATAGGTCGAGGTCGCTAGCGCTACGGGGACGATGCTGTAGCCCGTTCCTATAATCGGGAGGCGGAGTCGTTCGATACGAGTCTAACGCGTCCGTCCGCGGGTGTGGTGCGCGTCTTAAGGGTCTCGTTTTTAAGGTTTAGGGATAGGAGGGATAGGTTAGCGCTACGGGGACGATGCTGTAGCCCGTTCCTATAATCGGAAGA